GGTTCATCAAGGAGGAGGAGAAGCCGCTGCCGTCGCACGAGCTGCAGAGGAAGGTCTGGCTGCTGTTCGAGTACCCGGAGAGCTCGCAGGGCGCCCGGGTAGTCGCGATAATATCGGTGATCGTGATCCTCCTGTCGATCGTGATATTCTGCCTGGAGACCCTACCGGAGTTCAAGCACTACAAGGTGTTCAACACGACGACGAACGGCACGAAGATCGAGGAGGACGAAGTGCCGGACATTACGGACCCGTTCTTCCTAATAGAGACTATTTGTATCATCTGGTTCACGTTCGAGTTATCAGTGCGCTTCCTCGCCTGTCCAAACAAACTGAACTTCTTCCGTGACGTAATGAACTTCATCGACATCATCGCGATCATTCCTTACTTCATCACGCTCGGCACCGTGATGGCCGAGGAGGAGGAGACGATCGATCTGCCAAAGGCGCCGGTAAGCCCGCAGGACAAGAGCACCAATCAGGCGATGTCCCTGGCGATACTCAGGGTCATCAGGCTCGTCAGGGTGTTCCGGATATTCAAGCTGTCCAGGCACAGCAAAGGCCTTCAGATCCTCGGCCGTACGCTCAAGGCCTCCATGCGGGAGCTCGGCTTGCTCATCTTTTTCCTCTTCATCGGTGAGTTCTTCATTCTTCTTTCTTTCTTTATTTCTTTCTTCCTTTCTTCCTTCCTTTCTTTCGATGTGTTTCTCTCTTGTCTATCTGTGTATCTGTTTTCGTTCATGTCAGACTTCTATAGGAACCCTATAGGATCCCTCGGGCGTCACGCACGCGGTCTTTTCTTCGAACGATTCTTCCACTTTCCGCGAAAGAAGGCCCGCATCGTTGAGTCGACGGATCGAGATCGACGACATCGGCGCGAGATTCGAAGCAGCATACGATCGACTAGCCAGAAATGTTTCGGTTTCACCGTTTTTCAGTGCCAGGAACTATTTAGAAAACCGTGTTGGATAATGCCACGTGGCGCGACAGTGCTTCCTCGGTGTCTAATTTATCGAATATTCGCTAATTATTCAAATTCAATTTCCGGGGTAGAACCTTTGAAATAATAAAAACTAGGCTACGAGCAACATTCAATTGCACATGCAATTTCCTACAGGAATTGTTGCTCAAATTAGCAATTATTAATAATTATTTTGCGACAATTCTATACTAATTATTAAACGACGTTTAAACGCGCTGGCAACCGGTCCGCGGACCATAACGAGTGACCAAACCGTGTACAATAACTCGTCGCTTTTTTTTCATTGAATAGAATTACTAAGAAGTAATAAATTTATTATTTGTTTTGTTTTTTAGGTTATATTTGAATACAGTTAAAACTAAGAAAATATTGAAATTAATTTTGTCGTGTAAAATCCTAACCTACTTCAAATTAAGATTTTAATCCGTTGCGCTGGCAACTGGTTTGCGGACCATAACGAGTGACCAAACCGTGTACAACAATTCGTCACTTTCTTTTTCGCTGGATAGAATTACTAAGAAGTAATAAATTTACTATTTATTTTGCTTTTTGTGTTATATTTGAATGTAGTTAATAGTAAAAAAATATTGAAATTTATTTTGTCGTGTAAAATCCTAACCTACTTCAAATTAAGATTTTAACCCGTTGCGCTGGCAACTGGTTTGCGGACCATAACGAGTGACCAAACCGTGTACAACAATTCGTCGCTTTCTTTTTGAACTCGTCGGTATGATGTCACGGGATAGAAATTATTAAAAAGTAATAAATTTATTGTTTGTTTTGCCTTGTTATATTTGAATATATACTCAAAACTGAGAAAATATTGCAATTTCGAGACAAAAAGATTCTTAACGTCGTTCCAGCGCAGGAAGTTTAATGATGAATTTAACGATGAATTTTCGCGTAATTTGGATTAATAGACAATTAATTAGTAATCCCTACATATGGGATACAAAGTACAGAATACAAAGTACACTTCTGCGGAACAATAAGCTTTAATCTTCGAAAAGTTCAACATCAATCTAATTATTTGATAAATTAGCAAAAATGTCAAGCGCTGGTTTGTAAAAAACACTGCCCACTTATACGCGTAGTTTAGGTTTAATTGAGAAGAAAGTAATTAGGAGAGCAAGCTTCAATATAATCTATCGCTATCGCGCTGTGTTTTAATACCTTAAGCGTTTTGTTTTGTTTTGAGAATGTGCTTAATTATTTCACATCTAGGCGATGACGAGTATACTCGACGAAAACAGAGTGAATGCACTTGCTCTATGATTGAGTTAAATCGTAACAAAATGATAAATTTTGTTTGGCGTTTCTTTGGAAAATTTTTAATTTTATCGGTATTTACAGAACTTTACGTTTTATTTTTTGAAAATTATTCCATGAAAAATTCGAAATGTGAAGGAAAGAACTTGAATTTTCATCGATTCATAAAAAAAAGTAGAAAGTCAAATGTTTGCAAAATTAAAGTGATTGGAGACGAATTTAATTTGTTCATCGCGTCAGATTTCTCTGAACAATTATTTTCAAGTGCATACTTTCTTTGTTTGTTTTCTTGTCTTCAGATATTCTAAAATGTGCTAAAATTACAAATATATATATGTATAAATAACTCTACCTAAATTTTACAGTAAATAGCAAAAGCGAATTTTTTTTTTTACATGACGAGTATACTCGACATAAACGTTTAAGGGATTAACACGTTAAATGCGGTGTCGGTCACTGTTGACCGACGAAGCAAATTCAGCACACATATGTTAAAAATTGAAAAGCTTTAAGATTACAGAAAAGAATAGTACTTTTATCGAACATTGACATTTATTATATACAATAATAATAATTTTAATAGGTTTTATTGATCCTTTGCACTCGACTGATTCTTCTGAGAGGACATCGTTCTTAAATCTAATCAACAATTTGAACTTCCTCCTTTTATAATTTACTGATCATTATACATTTGGTGCCGTATGATGCGATATAATAGTATAATATCTGAACAGACGACCAGAGTGAAAGTTATAATAAAAAAAAGAAAACAAAAGAATTTCAGAAGATAGTCCTGAATGAGTCAATTGACACTCAATAATTCACGAAAGTTTAAGAAACGATGTAGTTTAAGATATTATATTGCCAGAGATTGAAACTTTTTTGTATATTATACTTGTTCTAGCAAAAGATATAACAAATCAACAGAATTTCAACAAGAAAGATATAACAAATCAACAGTCTAAGCAAAGCGATGGTTTTCACCCATCGCAGAATGTTGCAATTCTCTTATACTGCATAATTGTTGCATCGTTTTCGTGGCAATTTTTACAAAATTTTCCGATGCTTTGCTTACCGGGGAAACGCACGACGTTTAACGTGTCAATTGAAATGAAAGTAATTAGGAAAGGAAGCTTCGGTACGACGATAAAGCGCTATAATTGTAAATTGAGCATCGCGATTAAACGCTGTTTAATACAACACGAAATCTGAACAGCGTGATCGCGTTGCATGGCACTGAAACACGGTTAATTGTTGGCCGAACGTTGAACACAGCGGAATGGAAAATGGCAGCGTACGCCAGTCGGGGAGATATTATTATTTCTATATCATTATATATTTATAAGATTATTATTTTATAAATATTATTAAAATATTATCGCGAGTAGATTCGCAGTCTCTGTTGCGATTCCGTCGTGCCGGAGGAGTTCTCGAGTTCTGTCCTTGGACGCGACAACCGGAAGTAGAAGAATCGTTCGAGAAAGCGCGTTGCCGCAACACTGCGTAAAGATCTCTGCAGGTAATTCGAAAATCGAGGCTGAACGTCGACCGATCGTCTGCAAGAAGATCGTGGAAATCCAATCAACGTAATGGAAGGAAGCCCGGTGAAGGCCCGTGGATTTTGCTCGATCGAGCGGAAAAAAAAAAGAAAGAAAGAAAGAAAGAAAGAGAGGAAAGTCGAAGGAGAGTGGAGGCGAGCGTTGGTGTGGCGAGATCGATCGATCGATCGAGAGGAGCGAAGAGGAGAGCGGTGAATGGGTCACACACAGAGGGGCAGTGGACGTGGACGCGGACAGAGAGGAGAGATGGACTGTGCTAAGCTGATCTAAAGAGAGCTAGAAGGCCGGCAAACTGGCGTGTCTTGTGAAGCGTCTGTTCCTCTTGTGTGCGTTGCAGGTGTGGTGCTGTTCTCGTCGGCGGTATACTTCGCGGAGGCGGGCACGCAGGACAGCTTCTTCAAATCGATACCGGACGCGTTCTGGTGGGCGGTGGTCACGATGACGACCGTGGGCTACGGGGACATGAGGTACAGAGCCACCGGGGGCGTTAAACCCACTGAACCGGTGTTTTCTTCCTTGCATTACAGGTGTGGTGCTATTCTCATCGGCGGTATACTTCGCGGAGGCCGGCTCCGAGAATTCGTTCTTCAAGTCCATTCCGGACGCGTTCTGGTGGGCCGTTGTCACGATGACGACCGTGGGCTATGGTGACATGACGTATGATGTACTCACTTTCACTTAAGACTCTAGTTAATGCCCGCCAAACAAAACGAAACACATTTACTTACTTTTAACTCTCTCTCTCCTCCGATACTCTTTTTTACTCTCAGCTACTTTTAACTACTCGATTACTATACCACGTAACTCAGCACTCCTCTCCTCCAGTCTTTCCTCCATCTTCCACCCCGTCTCTCTCTCTCTCTCTCTCTCTCTCTTTCTCTTTCTTTCCTCCTTATCTCCGTTTTTTGATTGCTTACTCTTAGTTTTCGTTTCCAAGTTTTTCCAACTAACTAACGACCGAATTGAATGCTTGATAGAATTGAATTGTGCTAGTTTTTAGTCTCTCTCTCTCTCTCTCTCTCTCT